CCCTTTCTCCGCATCCTCGCCAGCATCTGTCATTTCCTGACTTGTTAATTTTAGCCATTCTGACTGGTGTGAGGTGGGATCTCATTGTGGTTTTGATTTGTATTTCCCTGATGCCGAGTGATATGGAGCACTTTTTCATGTGTCTGTTGGCCATCTGGATGTCTTCTTTGCAGAAATGTCTGTTCATGTCCTCTGCCCAATTCTTGATTGGATTATTTGTTCTTTGGGTGTTGAGTTTGCTAAGTTCTTTATAGATTTTGGACACTAGCCCTTTATCTGATATGTCATTTGCAAATATCTTCTCCCATTCTGTCAGTTGTCTTTTGGTTTTGTTAACTGTTTCCTTTGCTGTGCAAAAGCTTTTGATCTTGATGAAATCCCAATAGTTCATTTTGCCCTTGCTTCCCTTGCCTTTGGCGATGTTCCTAGGAAGATGTTGCTGCGGCTGAGGTCGAAGAGGTTGCTGCCTGTGTTCTCCTCAAGGATTTTGATGGATTCCTTTCTCACATTGAGGTCCTTCATCCATTTTGAGTCTATTTTCGTGTGTGGTGTAAGGAAATGATCCTAGATGTCCATCAACAGACGAATGGATAAAGAAGATGTGGTATATATACACAATGGAATACTATGCAGCCATCAAAAGAAATGAAATCTTGCCATTTGCGACGATGTGGATGGAACTAGAGGGTATCATGCTTAGCGAAATAAGTCAATCAGAGAAAGACAACTATCATATGATCTCCCTCATATGAGGGAGAGGAGATGCAACATGGAGGGTTAAGGGGGTAGGAGAAGAGTAAATGAAACAAGATGGAATTGGGAGGGAGATAAACCATAAGTGACTCTTAATCTCACAAAACAAACTGAGGGTTGATGGGGGAAGGGGGGTTGGGGGGGTGGGGTTATGGACATTGGGGAGGGTATGTGCTATGGTGAGTGCTTTGAAGTGTGTAAATTTGGCGATTCACAGACCTGTACCCCTGGGGATAAAAATATATGTTTATAAAAAATAAAATAAAAAAAAAAGACTTTATTTATTTATTTGACAGAGATCACAAGTAGGCAGAGAGGCAGGCAGAGAGAGAGAGGGAAGCAGGCTCCCCACTGAGCAGATAGCCCAACTCAGAGCTTGATCCCAGGACCCTGGGATCATGACCTGAGCCGAATGCAGAGGCTTAACCCACTGAGCCACCCAGGCGCCCCTCCTCCCTTCCTTTCTTAAGAACGAAAGAACATTTATCCTTCATTGAGGAAATGAAGAGTGAGTTAATATTAGAATTTTTATACTCAGAGTTGGTTTAATATGAATTGGAGTTTCTGGAATAAGACAATACTACTTCTTATTTATTTATCTACTTATCTATCTGTTTATTTTTTAGGTAATCACCAAACTTGACGCTGCGTTCGAACTCACAACCCCAAAATCAGGAGTTGCATGCTCTGCTGGCTGAGTCAGCCAAGCACCCCTAATTCTAAGACTCTTAAGTATCTAAAGCCAATAAACATCTGGTTTGCATGATTCATATTCATGAGAAAGCTCTTTGTAGCTTCCTAATTAGTACTTCTTCCCACCTCTGAAATCACTGATGTCTACTTAATGACCTTGTTTTCTGTGATCTCTTCATTTGTGAGAAGCAAGCTCAGGGACACTTCAGGCATTTCTTAGTTTTGCTCTTCTGCTCTCAGGTATAAAGTTTGGAAATCCTTAATTTCTCATTTGAAAATTGCCAACAATTCATTTGTGCTGGAGGGTGTTTTGAAGCCCTCTGCTCTCACCCACCTGTTTCTGCCTCAACATGGGGATACGTGTTCCAACATTTCTTTTTCCACTGAGGCTCCTCACCCGGTGGGACCTGCTCGATTCCTGCTGGAGGCCTTCAGGTGCTTCTGCCACTTTTGGTAGAGAAAACAGGAGCAACCTCAGAACTGTACACTTGACCATTTGCACTGTCATTTCTAAAAACCCAGATGTCGACTTTCCAGAATCAAGGGGATCCAGGCCATAACCTGTTAAGAAATTCTTCTGAAAGCAGCTCTAATGTCACCACAGTTCTGAGTAGGGATGGGCCAGCCAGCAACCTAACATTATGGCATGATTTTCTTCCCTTGACATTTCTCTCCAGCAACATCTACATTGTAACTTATCCCATTTGATGGATTTCTCCTGGCTAACTCGGAGAAACTTTTTCCTCCTTTCAAATTTGGTCATCCAATTTACAAGGGCAGGGGTGGGGTGGGACAGTGAGGCGAATCACAGGTATTCAAGAAAAGCTTCTCGAACTCTCTAGCAGCCAGAGAAGCGCACATAAACGCTGAGATGCTGCACTGGTGCACCTAAGAGGGGCGAACGTTTTAAAACTGGTATTTGTTATACATTGCTACAAGACAAACTACCCCCAAAACTTAGTGACTTCTTAATTGAACTTAAGATTCTTGGAATCTCTCTTGTAACAAAGAAGGTCTAGGAGACACAACGTCCTGATATCTCCGGACATCTCAAAACCAGAAAATGGTTTTACAGCTGTATCTTGACTTTGAGGGCTTACTTCAAAATTTAACCCAAGCCTCAATTTTATTGGGAACACTCCAGATTTGATCTCTTAACAGTTCCTAATTTTGAGAATCCTTTGCTAGGGAAGACCAGCCTGGCTCTCAACATTTCTCTAAACTGTGCTACATAACGAAACGGTTCCTTCTGTCATTTATCTCTGTCTTGTATTTTACCAGAGGCATCCAGAAGCAGCCTTTGTCCCTTTTAAGGTGCTGCCTGCCAAGTTCCCCAGCCAGATTTTACCAGATGGGACGACTCCTGGAATTCATTTTTGGGAAGAACTGGCTTTGGATGCTTTGTATCTTAATGTTTGACATAAGTGAGTAGAATTTGGTACCTGGATTAAAGGAAGAAGCAAGTAGTTCATCACAGACTAAGGGTTTTATATTTAAGATCTCCTGCGGAAAACAGTGTATTCTACTTCATTGCTATTGAGGCTTGAAGATTTTTGAGTTTGTGAATATTTGCCTGCAGATAGAATCATCCTGCAAAATCTTTGAGGAGTCTAATATGTTAGGTGGATTCTCAGAAGAGTCACTAAAAATGTTTATGTGAGGTTGGGTAAATAGGAGAACATTTTTATTCAATTCACTATTATCTATGAAAACACCTATTTTTAATAAATCTCTGCATGAGGAATGTGGGGTTGGAACCAGACAGAGTGAGGCATGGTTCCTGCTTTCAAATTACGTAATATTTTATAGAAGGATCTAAATGAGTATGTGATTATATATGGTTGTATCTCAAGTGAGCACTCATTTAATAATTGCTTTTTCAATTTTTTCTTGCTACCATAGATTCGTTTGTACATTCTTGCTTAATATTGGATGGCTAATATTGAGAATACCCTATTTAAAAAATTAATCTTTTGTGTCGAACACTGATGGTTAATGTGAATTTAAACTCATACCATCTATAAAAAGATTATAAAAAAGGAAATAATTTGAAATGTACTACAACAATACTGTGTATAGGTAGTACTGTAGGATTCTGAAAGATTGTTTAAAAAAAGGATGGTCTTATTTTGGGGCCAGGCTATGTTCTGCCTGTTTCCCAATTCTATTCTGCTTTCCTCTACAGGGTGACATCAGAGAGAGAGCATGGGCTTTGTCAGTAGATCTGGATTCGAACCCTGGGTCTAGCATTTAAAAGCTGTGTGGCATCGGGTGACCTACTGAAGGTCTCTGTAGCTCAGTTTCCTCATGCGTAAAGCAGAGATGATACTCTACAACCCCTGCCCATAACACAGTGCCTGGCCAAGTGTAAGAACTCCGTGTTTGCTAAACAAACAAGTGTCAGAACTGCCGCTGGCCCTTGGCTAACACTGAAGGGCAGATCCCCTCTGCAGGGCTGTCACAGTGGAGATTCATTTGGAGAATACTTACCAGATCTGCTTCTGCATTGCTTTATTTTCCTCTAGGTAACATCTTGGTCCAACCATTGTCTGCTCTCTTCTACATTAAGTGCCAGATAGGGTCTCACGTGGTCAGGTACGGGTTTGTGTTTTCTGCTCTTGATGGAGGTCAGGTCTTCTGATACCACTGAATCTAGAATCCGGATACCGTGGATTCCAGGTCTGTGGGCTGAACTGCAGACTAGTTCCCATACTGTTCTCCATTTTTACTTGTGACCATCCCCATGAGGTTAAAAGAATGAGAGGCAGGAGCAGAGAGGTGTCAGGTTTGAGGACAGAATCCACTTGACACAGACGTTACACGCGAAGAAGTGACTGATCATCGGGAACAATGATTAGGGTAGAGGTCAGAGGGGGTTGTGGGTGTGAGAATCTGCTGTGAGTGGGAGAGAAGTCATGGTAAGTCACAGTCTGCCAGTATTTGCAGATTACCCTTTCTATTACCTAAATGGTCTTGTTCGATCCTGGCGCACTTTTGCAACAATACAGAGCTACCCCTGCTACTCATGGGCAGGCAGAGGTTTTTCCTCATCCATACAATGCTGATGGAAGAGACACTAGCAGGAAATATTCAGATTTAATATGCCTTGGGGAAAACAGTGTGACTTTGTACCAGCAAATCTGGGCACTCCTACTTCAGAATGAGTATCCTAAAACCCAGTGCATTTTCTTTCCCGGGGCCGGTAAAAACACAGGGCTCCAAGGAAAAGCAGCAAAATATGGAAAGAAACTCCAGGTTATACAAGCGAGCTGCCGGTTCGGAAAGTGGTGACTTCTCTGTGCAAATGATTTCTTTGTCCAAACAGAATTAAACAGGGTACATTTATATGGGTTAATGACTTTCACAGTGATTAAAGAAACTGATGATTATTTTTAACCCATAAAAACCAGTAAAGTTCAATTTAACACATTATCATATTCTCAATTAATGACTGGCTTTTTAAAGTTAGCATTTGGATAAAAGTTCCAATACCGAATTAGACTAAAACTATTATTTGAAAGCATAAGTGAAGAGAAAAAGTACACGAAAGCTTATTTATTACAGAACAATTTTTATTAATAAAAGCCTTAAACAAAACCCCACAATTCCACAAACTAACAATGACCTGGCAGCATGCTAGTACTTTGGGCTGGAGTGGTACGTTTGCTCTTGATGAATTTACATATGATAAGTCCTCATGACATCTGATTCCAAAATATATGAATATATTGGCTTGGCATGATTAATAATTTAAAGTAAAATATAAACATAAGGGCAACTTAAACACTGGATTAATTTATGTATGTCAATTCAAGGTCAGTGACTAGAAAGCTCTATTAAAAAAAAAAATCTGTGGTCAAAAAGATCTTTAATTAGGAAGCAACCACATACCTCTGTACATTTGAAGATCGAGGGCTAAAAATCCCGTCCTGAGGAACACCATTAAGCAAAGGATGTATAACATCCACCACACGTGTTTCAAAAATGGCATCTTTCCAAAACTGTCTACTTCTTTACAAATAAACATTATAGTATTAATAATTAGAGAGAAGCCATCAGAATGAGTTCCAAAACATGCTAACTCTCACGAAGCTTCCCTGAGCTCTGTCTCAAAGCATCTACTTTAATCCTGGGGCTTTAGAAACATCTTCTTTACTTTAACTGTTGGTTTTATGTGTCCATTTTCATCTTCTTCATAACTGGCACGGTCTCTTTTTTTGGCAAACTTTTTTCCAATTGTCCCCACCAAGGTCTCATATCTGTTAAGACGGTAAATGGCACAAGTTTAATTAAACAAACAAAAAACAAGGGAGGAGTCAAGTTTTGTCGAGAATATCAAACCAAACAACATCGAATAAGAAAAATCAAAATGATGATTAAAAGTAACTGATTGAAAACTTAAGAACTTTTCCATGAATGATTAAATTCTTCACCATTTTGTTTCTGCACTATCCTAAATAAAGTGAGATATCTTAAAATACTGAGAAGCAGCATCGGACAAGAGCCCTCAACTGCCCGCCTCTGAAAGGTATGAACCCCTCCACCCCAGCCAAATGTACAGGAAGCAGAAAGCCATCTTCCCAGTGGGCCACTCCATGGAAGACTGTGGAAGTGCCCATGGCAGAGCCAGTGAACGCTGGGCCCAGATTATAATGCAGTTCTGAGGTGACTGCTACCTTCTGGCCATTTCTTCATCTGACACATCGAGCTCCACTGCTTCATCTTGAACTTCTTCCACCTTGTTCTTAGCGTTCATCTGGAGCATCAATTTCTGAAAAATGTAACAACGCTTTCAGGGCTGGAACAGGCTTATGAAAGAAACTGATATTGGATGTATTTGAAGGTAGAGAAACAGAAGTCACAATGTACAGGAGTAACCAACATTTATGAAGGGGTTCTTTTTTTTTTAATTTTTTTTTTAAAGATTTTATTAATTTATTTGACAGAGAGAGATCACAAGTAGGCAGAGAGGCAGGCAGAGAGAGAGAGGGGGGAAGCAGGCTCCCTGCTGAGCAGAGAGGCTGATGTGGGGCTCGATCCCAGGACCCTGAGATCATGACCTGAGCCGAAGGCAGAGGCTTAACCCACTGAGCCACCCAGGTGCCCATCAAGGGGTTCTCTGTAATACATTCCTCCACAATGTGCCAACTGAAGTCAGCTGTGAATGGAAAAAATAGTAAGATAAAGCCCCACAAGATTGGACCTATTAATGAATTTAAATTGTATTTGAGATCGTAAATCTCACTGGTTACTTACAACTAAAGCAGGCACACTCCTAACACACTCTGGTGAGTGGAGGAAAGAAAAAAGCAAACTTTCAGATTTCCTCCAAACTTCCCGCCTTTGAGCCAATTGGAAGAAAACTACTCAAGATGATACTAACTGCAGTTTCTGGTGTTAGCCGTGGGGCCGTGGCAAATTATTGGACAGAAGGACTGTGAGGTTGCCTCTGACATCATGGGGAGGACCGGCCTCATTCCAGAACACGAGGGCGGATAAAGCATTCTACATGATGTCCACGTGCCACAGTCTCACCTCCATTTATTTTTTTTACATTATTAACCTTTTCTTGATCGTTACCCCCTGACAATATCTTTTTTTTTTAATGTACAATGCCTTCTTTTTTAGCAAAGGCAGGACGAGGTAGGGACAGCCGCGGAGGAACCAGTTTCCATTAGCTTTTCCAACATTTAAAGGACTGAAGAGAAAAAAATTCTGGGAATACAAGCTTTGTGAGGGCACAGAATTCGGTTTCCTGCTGATTTCCAGTGCTCCAGAGGCTGGTGAACCTCAGGAACAGACTAAGTCTTTACTGAGCAAATAAACTCCACACTGGGGGTCACTAGAGATACATACAATATTAAAAACATGTTCTCGGGGCTCCTGGGTGGCTCAGGCAGTGAAGTATCTGACTCTTGATTTTGGCTCAGGTCATCGTCTCAGGGTGCTGGGACAGAGCCCCGTATTGGGCTCTGTGCTCAGTGGGGAGCCTGCTCCAGATTCTTTCTCTCCCTCTGCCCCCTCCTCTCTCTCTCTCTCAAATAAGTAAATCTTTAAAAAAGGAAGACTTTTATAAAAATGTGTTCTAAGTACATCCTCCTTATAATGAAGTAAGTGCTCTCAACCTGGTATCTTTCTTTTGTAAATTTTTATTATTTTTTTAAAAGATTTTTGTTTATTTGACACAGAGAGAAAGATCACAAGTAGGCAGAGAGGCAGGCGGGGGGGGGGGCGGGGGGCGGGGGAAGCAGGCTCCCCGCTGAGCAGACAGCCCGTCTCGCTGCGGGGCTTGATCCCAGGACCCTAAGATCATGACCTGAGCCGAAGGCAGAGGCTTAACCCACTGAGACACCCAGGTGCCCCTCAAGTTGGTATCTTTTCAAACCAGGTGTATATATACCTAACCCTTCTCCTGTTTTGTGACAGCTCAGATCTGAAAGTCAAACAGTTCAAAATCTTTCCCCAGAGAGAACGTATTCAGCATTACAGAGGAGCAGTTACGGAAGCCATCTTCTAATAGCCTCCCACATCAGAATCCTTTTCCCCTCATAGGAGACAGACCCTGGAGTGCCTGCCTACCCCAACCCTAGTCTCTGGGCATCACACACTCATCATCTTTGCTTCCCCCTGACTCTCCCTTCAGCCCACTGCCTTCTTTCTCTTCCTAATCCAAAGCTTTAAGCAGGCTAAGCCAAGGAAAATACCTACTATAAACAAACACTTTTAGTGCTGACTTGTGTAAACAGAACACCTTAATTATCACATACCCTCAAAAAAGGTGGGCGGGGGGGGGGGGGAAAAACAATAATCTTTAAATAAACTCTGGCAATTAACTTGGTTAAAACTGTGATTCTCTGGGAGAAGATATTTGCAAACGAATATCAGATAAAGGGCTAGTATCCAAAATCTATAAAGAGCTTATCAAACTCAACACCCAAAGAACAAATAATCTAATCAAGAGATGGGCAGAAGACACAAACAGACATTTCTGCAAAGAAGACATCTAGATGGCCAACAGACACATGAAAAAGTGCTCCGCATCACTCGGCATCAGGGAAATACAAATCAAAACCACAATGAGATCCCACCTCACACCAGTCAGAATGGCTAAAATTAACAAGTCAGGAAATGACAGATACTGGCGAGGATACGGAGAAAGGGGAACCCTCCTACACTGTTGGTGGGAATGCAAGCTGGTGCAACCACTCTAGAAAACAGCATGGAGGTTCCTCAAAAAGTTGAAAATAGGGACACCTGGGTGGCTCAGTTGGTTAGGAGACTGCCGTCAGCTCAGGTCATGATCCTGGAGTACCCAGATCGAGCCCCAAGTCGGGCTCCCTGCTCGGCGGGAGTCTGCTTCTACCTCTGACCCTCCCCTTCTCATGCTCTCTCTCTCAAATAAATAAATAAAATCTTAAAAAAAAAAAAAAACAAAGTTGAAAATAGAGCTACCCTATGACCCAGCAATTGCACTACAGGGTATTTGCCATAAAGATACAAACACAGTGATCCAAAGGGGCACGTGCACCCGAATGTTTATAGCAGCAACGTCCACAATAGCCAAACTATGGAAAGAACCTAGATGTCCATCAACAGATGAATGGATAAAGAAGAGGTGGTATATATATACAATGAAATACTATGCAGCCATCAAGAGAAATGAAATCTTGCCATTTGTGATGATGTGGATGGAACCAGAGGGTTATGCTGAGTGAAATAAGTCAATCGGAGAAAGACAATTATCTTATGATCTCCCTGATATGAGGAAGTGGAGATGCTACGTGGGGGGTTTGGGGGATAGGAAAAGAATAAAGGAAACAAGATGGGATCCAGAGGGAGACAAACCATAAGAGAATCTTAATCTCACAAAACAAACTGAGGGTTGCTGGGGGGAGGGGGGGAGGGACAGGGTGGTGGGGTTATGGACATTGGGGAGGGTATGTGCTATGGTGAGTGCTGTGAAGTGTGTAAATCTGGCGATGCACAGACCCTGTACCCCTGGGGCTAATAATACATTATATGTCATTAAAAAAACTAAAAAAATATTAAAAAAAAAAACAACAACCCCCAAAACAAACTGTGATTCTCTACAGGCATCCTCAGAGAAGTGGTTTTCAACCAGGGGTAGTTTTGCTCACCAAGGGACCTTTGGCAATGTCTGGATACATTTCTGGTTGTCACAACTGGGGTGAGTGTGTGTGTGTGTGGGCATGCGCGTGTGTGTGCATGTGCACGCTACTGATATGCAGTGGGCAGAGGCCAGGGATGCTGCTGAACATCTAAAAATGCACGGGGCAGCCTCAAAGAATTATCTGGCTCCAGAAGTCAGTGGTGCCAGGGCTCAGAAACCCTGGCTTCAAGTGTCAGTGATCAAACTAAGCTTTATATCATAAGGCTCCATTTCACTGGTGGAGTACCTGATAGGATAGCTTCTAGTACACACGCCAGAATTCTAATAAATATTAAACGAAGGTCTGTGCTTCTCTACAAACCTGAACCGGGAGAATTCAAATCAATAGATTAGAAGGTGAATATTTACTTTTCAAACAAACTTTCTAAGAGGTTCATTTAAAAATCTATTTACAAACCTGGATTAAAACCTGCCCATTAAAAAGTCAAATTGCTCCATTTTTAAGTAATATTTTTCCATTAGGAAAGATACATTTACAGGTGCCACAAAATAATTTTTCATAATAGCATCACATGCACAAAAGCCAGACGTCTCTGTGAAAGAGCGGAGCTGCAACTCTAGCACTCGCAGGGCGCTGTCTGGGAGCGTGTGCTGCTCCATGAAATCACCTCCTAACTCTCCCACAAAACCAAGCTGCAAAGGGCTGCAATTTCTATAAATCGCTCCAACGGTATTTGAAGACTTGTTATTTTGTATATAATGAGAAGAAATGGTACCTGGTGGGAAAAAAACCGAAACCCAATTATTAGCAGAAAGAATTCAATTGGAAAATTTTAAAATTTGAAGCAATTATATTTAATACCTCAACCTCAGGATTAAATCCTCTGAATGACATTCTTCCATAGAGAAGATCTTCACATAATAAGAAACTCTGCTCTTCTATTATGAAACACCTAAGTGGGAAAATAAACCTGTATTAATAGCGTGTCTACATATAGCAAGGCACCACGAATAAAAGTCAACATTTCAAATGAAAAATCGATCTTACTTACGGTTTTTAGTGGAACTGAGTAAAAGTAAGGTAAGACTTTGAAGGCAGGGGTCAAAATAAAAATCGATTATCTTGGCCAGCAAAGGCATTAGATGATAAGAGCAGGAGCCTGCAGGCACAGCCTTGTCCAAATTACACATTTAATCTGCATAAATGCCTACACAAGGCAGAGACCTAGGCTATTTATAATAAATCTGGATTTTTCTAATCTGAAGCAATTTCCTTGATGATTACATGTCCCAGCCCTGCCCGACACCTTTCTTATTAAATACTCTGAAACTGGAGTCCCAGGCAGCTTTAAGAGAGTGTATTAGCTGGGGCTCTTAGCTGTGGACGAGTGGGAGTTTACTGAAAGGACACCAGGATTGCACAGAGTCACCAGGCAGGCTGGATGAGCAGGAACAGAAAACAGGCAGAAATAAGGGTAGCTAGGTCGCTGACCCAAAACCAAAACCGTGAAAAAAAATCTACCCTAGTAAAATTGACATTGCACTGAGGGGGGCTAAGCTCTGGACAGCAGACGGCACTGGGAGGCCAGTGGTGCCCCCGAAAAGGAATGCAGGTGTGACATTTTGGTCTCTAAAAGGAAGTCTACTCTGAGTCACCAGTTTATTATCCCAGTCGTGGGTGAGCATATGTGACTATAGCCCGAGACCGTAGAACTAGCGGCCATAGAGCACACGAGGGGAGTAAATAGCTGGTCTTTAGGGCTTCGTGGCAGAAAGCAGGCAATACTTCTTGCGTCAAGATTCACTCACTCACTCAGTCAACACTTTTTCAACCAAACTGTGTGCCAGGCAGTGTTCTAGAAGCTGGAGGGACAGCCACGGGTAAGAGTCTCTGCTCTCACAGAGGTCCCATTCTAGAGCGGGGCCGAATGACACATGAAAGATTTGTACTGTACAGTGAAAAAGAAGGAAGCATTTATTTCACTTGTGGCCGTAAGAAAGCAGCTGGAACCCAACTGGCCTCCTACCTACGTTAAAGTAGGACTCAGAAGGAAACAATGAACGTGTCAAAGCACAGAGCTGTGGTGCCTGAAAGAAATGAACCAAAGTAAGCTTTCTGACTGAAGGCAATGAATGCCCGCCTTCTGCCTGGAAGCGACTTTTAGACCGTGGAGCAGGGAGTGGGGGCCCAAACCGAGCCCAGTCTCACTGAGCTGAAGAGACAAACACACTGAAGTTCGGGGCTGCCCAGGGGGCAGAAGTACATGGGTCAAGATACCAGAGAGAGGGGACGCCTGGGTGGCTCAGTTGGTTAAGCAGCTGCCTTCGGCTCAGGTCATGATCCCAGCGTCCTGGGATCGAGTCCCACATCGGGCTCCTTGCTCATCAGGGAGCCTGCTTCTCCCTCTGCCTCTGCCTGCCATTCTGTCTGCCTGTGCTCGCTCTCTCTCCCTCTCTCTCTCTCTGACAAATAAATAAATAAAATCTTTAAAAAAAAAAAAAAAAGATACCAGAGAGAGGGAGATACTTAAAAGACATTCTGGGGACTGCACACATGGTCCCCTTGAATGTCCGGCTGAGTACTAGGTTGTCTGTGTGCAGGGCAAGTCCAACAGTGTTAGGGGAAAACAATTTCCAGAGGACAGTTACCTGGTGCATTAGTTTCCTAGGGCTGCTGTAAGAAATTACCACAAAATTGGTGGGTAAAGTAAAAAAAATTTATGCTCTCAATTCTGGAAGTGTACAGTCAGTTTCACTGGACCAAAATCAAGGTGTTGGCAGGCCGCGCTCCCTCCAGAGGCTGAAGGAGAGAATTCATTCTTTGCTTCCGTAGACAGCTAGGAGTCCTGGGCTTGTGACTGCATTACCCCAACCTCTGCCTCCATGGTCACACTGCCTTCTCTTCTATCTCCCTTTTAGAAAGATCTATGTGATGGTATTTAGGGTCCACCCAGACAATCCAGAATAATCTCCCCATCTAAAGATCTTTAACTTAATTACTCCAGCAAAGTCGATTTTGCCATATAAACTAACACAGGTTCCAGCGACAAGGACCTAGATATTATTGGGGGACCATTTTCCAGCATACCATACCTGAGAAAGAAAATTTACTCTAAAACTGTATGTTGAACAAATACAAGACCTTGCACAAAGGAGGGGAATGTCCGAGTTGTGTCTATCCAGAATGGAGCAACCATGCTGAACCCTGTGACATGGAGCAGAAAGCTCACACCTCAGGAGGAGGGGGGATCTCACAGAAGTCCAGGCTGTCAAACCTACACAAAATAGTGACCAAGCTGACTGGCACGTTAATGACCTGCCTAAGGGAAAATTCAACACTCCATTAAGGAAGACAACAAAATCCGGGCACTGAACAAGGTAATACGTAACACAGTAACACAGTAAAAAGCTGCTGGTCATGTAAGGTAGCAGGAAAATGTGATCCATACACAGAGGAAAAACAAATCAATAGAAAAAAAAGATGATGGCATTAATAGAAAAGGACTTCAAAACACTTATTTTTTTTTAGATGGGATGGGGTGGGACAGAGGCAGAGGGGGGGAGAGGGAAAGAGAGAGAAACTTAAGCAGGCTCCAAACCCAGTGGGGCTTGATTTCCCAAGCCTAAGATCATGACCTGAGTTGAAATCAAGAGTTGGATGCTTAACTGAGCCAGCCAGGGGCCCCTAAAAACAAAAACAGTTATTATAAATATGTTCAAGGACTTAAAGAAACACAGGAATGTAATGAAGATACAAATAGAGAACCTGAATTAAAATATGGAAACTATGAAAACTCACCAAATAGAAATGTTAACAACAGAAAAAACACTATCTGAAGAGAAAAATCAGAACAGTCCTTTTATCTATTAAAGAAAGTGAATTCATTATTAAGAATCTTTCTACAGAGAAAACTCTAGACCCAGATAGCTTCACTGGTGAAGTTTTTAAAATATAGCTCTATATCTATTTATTTATTTAAGGACTTTTTTTATTTATTTGACACAGAGAGAGACACCCCGAGAGAGAGAACATAAGCAGCGGCAGTGGGAGAGGGAGTAGCAGGCTTCCCACCGAGCAGGGAGCCAGATTCAGGGCTCCATCCCAGGATCCCAGGATCATGACCCGAGCCGAAAGCAGCCACTTAACGACTGAGCCACCCAGGCTCCCTACTGGTGAATTAAAAAAAAAAAAAAAAAAAAAAAAAGAATTATTTATTTCTTTTGAGAGAGAGAAACAGAGATAGCAAAAGAGATAGCAAGAGAGAGCCTGAGTGGGGAAAAGAGAGAGAAGCTGGCTCCCCACTGAGCAGGGCTCAACATAGGGCTAGATCACTGGACGCTGGGATCATGACCTGAGCTGAAGGCAGACCTTAACTGATTAAGCCAGCCAGGGACCCTCTAATAAATAAAATCTTAAAAAAATAAATAAATAAATAAAAGAAGAGTCTGCCTTTGGCTCAGGTCATGATGCCAGCATCCTAGGATCACAGCATTGGGCTCCTTGCTCAGTGGGGAGCCTGCTTCTCCCCCTGCTTGTGCACTCTGTCTCTCTCTCCCTCTCTGACAAATAAAATATTAAAAAAAAAAAAAAAAGAAAGAAAGAAATAGGCAGGCCACAAACTCGGAGAACATATTCATAATACGTATATCTGTTAAAGGACCTGTGTTCAGAATATAAAGAACTCTTATCTGTATAGAAGTATGTAAGTTTTATCGCAAGAAACAAAACCCTACAAACACTGAATTCTAGTTAATGATATGCATATCTGCAACTTACTCTGAAATACACTAAAAATAAAATGGATTGACAGATGTATAGAGGGATGGATAATTATGCAATGTAAGACTCTAGAAAAAAAAGGAAGCATTTCATTTTTAAAAACAGGCAACAGATTTGAATAGGGACTTCACAAAGGGAGATAAGGAAATGCCAATAAGCACATAAGAGTTCTTTAACATTATTAGTCATCAGGAAAATGCAAATTAAAAATCATAATGAGGGGTGCCTGGGTGGCTCAGTCCTTAAGCATCTTCCTTCGGCTCAGGTCATGATCCCAGGGTCCTGGGATCAAGTCCCACATCAAGCTCCCTGCTCTACGGGAAACCTGCTTCTCCCTCTCCCTCTCCCACTGCCCCTCCTTGTGTTCCCTCTCTGGCTCTTTGAGAGGCTCTTCCTTCTCTGTCAAATAAGTAAATAAAGTCTTTTTTAAAAAATCATAATGAGACACCCCTAGAATGACAGAATAGATAAAATTGAAAAGGTAACATCAAACGCTAGAAGGACATGGAAAAATTAGAATTATTCTATTTCCTTAGTAAATCTGTAATAAGTGCAATCACTGTGGAAACCAGTCTGAAAGTTTCACATAAAAAGTTTCTCATAAAGTTAACTCTACGCCAACCTTATGACCCAGCAATTCCACTTTTACCGAAGAGAAACTATAAGTGGAAAGAGTTAGGGGTCCCCCCCCAAAAGAAGGACAAAACATAACATGACACCAGAGAAGTCATTTTAGGCTATTTTCAGGGAACTCTCTCCGCCTTTACTTGCTCAAGCACACTTCCAGCACAGCTTCCTAGGAGATCAGAATCACAAAGAAATGCAAAAACTTCAGTGGTTAAAGATTTTAAAGGAACAAAGAGAAAGCAAAAACTAACACTCTACCTGGCCAGGAAATAGCCTAATCAAATCAGAGACCATTAATCCCTGCTAAGATTCCCTGTGCGATTTCAAAAGTAAGCAAGGGGCACCTGGGTGGCTCAGTCGTTAGGCATCTACCTTCAGCTCCGGTCATGGTCCTGGGGTGCTGGGATCCGTCCCACATGGGGCTCCCTGTTCAGCGGGAGCCTGCTTCTCCCACTCCTACTCCCCCTGTTTGTGTTCCCTCTCTCTGTCAAATAAATAAGCAAAATCTTAAAACAAACAAACAAAAAAAAACAACAAGCAACACCTTGCATCAGGAGCCCACATTATACTAGCTCTCAGAGCACTCCCATTAGCCCCTTTCCCTGGAGGGACCCTTATGGTGGCTGGGAGGCTTCAGAGTAAAGTTAGCCTCCACCCTCAGAGGAGCACAAGCTTCGTTAAGGATAAATGCATCCTGTGACGTTAACGTCACAGGATACATTTACATAGGCGTTTTTTTTTTTTTTTTTTTTCATCGCAGGCCTCTTAAGTATGCCCACAGGACCTCATGTCTGCCTTTACACGTGATGACAAAGCCCCCCTTTCTGAATATTCATTCTAACCCTAAATAAAAGAAACCCACTCACCCTCACTTGGGAGAATCATGGCTTTGAAAGTTATTCTCCATGATCTCTTTATTTGCTGCAAAAAGTTTCCTTTGTGTGACCACTCTACGGGTCTGTAGTCCTTACCTGTAACTCGGCAAAGGAGTGAGCTCAAGTTAGTTCTGCTACAAAATGAAAAAGGATCTATCCAATTCATACAAATTCTTTTTATCTAAAGAATTTGTCTTTGGTTGCTGTATGAAAAGTGGTCTGGACGGGCTTCTTGGATAGATGACATCTGATCAGCCCAGATCAGAAGGCAAAGAGGAACACAACATGAGGCCTGGGGAAGAAGAGCTGTGGGACCAGTTAAAGACCCTCAGAAGGGAGTGGAAGGGGCCCATCTGAGAAAGAGTGAGGAGGCCTTCATGACCACATAGGAGTGGCAAAAGGGAACACTCGTAGGAAGTCAAAGGTATTTTCATGGTGCCACTGAGGTGCTGTCTTTTTCACTGTGCTGACAGTTAGAGGGTGGGGCAAAAGCAATTGTCAGTGAGAGCTCATCTCGGCATGAATGACAGTGGGGACACTGTACTACGCTAGTAGTCACTGCTGGTTTTCAAAGTCTAAAAAAAAGGGAAAGAAGCCAGTAAGAATGCTTTTGATGAAGCAGGAAAAAAACTACTAGTTTTCATTAATCTCGGCCCGTGATTACACTTCTCAAGAATATTCCGCATGCAAAATGATAAGTGCTTCTGCACAGTGAGGCATGATGACCATCTTGAGGAAATGCACTTGTGCGATTGAGTTCTGAGTTGAACTAGCCACTTTTTTCATGGAACACTGTAACTACGGTTATTCAGACTTGGGTACTTGGCAGACGTTTTTCTGAAAATGAATCAAATGAACTTGTCACTTCAAAGGAACAACTGACAGAATTCAAGCTTTCGAGCAAAAATGAGAATTCTGAATAGCTTGTGTAGGTCATCTTGGACTTGAGAGCTTCTCAATACTTAGGGGAGATTTTTCTGATGAAACCCACGGTAATATTAATGAATGTGGTTTTTGATATCCTATAAGGAAATGAGTTAACATTTAGAAAATCTATACAACTCACTGAACTAATATTTTCCAAATGAGAAATGCATGATGTTATGAAATGATGCATGGATAAAAGATTTATTCCAAATGCAAGGTAGACCGACGATTATGAAAAATGTACTGACACTGTGAGATTCCACACTGCCATTAAAGAAACTACTAGTTACTGGGTTTTGGAGTAGTGTAAAAACAATTATCTGAAAAGGTTATTATAATACTCATCCCCTTTCAATTACATCTCCTGTGTAAGGGTGGATTTAAAAAAATTTTATTTATTTATTTGACAGAGAGAGAGATCACAAGCAGGCAGAGAGGTAGGCAGAGAGAGAGGGAGAAGCAGGCCCCCGCTGAACAGAGAGCCCAATGTGGGGCTCGATTCCAGGACCCTGAGATCAAGACCCGAGCCGAAGGCAGAGGCTTTAACCCGCTGAGCCACCCAGGCGCCCCAGGGTGGATTTTCTGTACTTGCTCAACAACAGATACAGCAGGCTGAGTGCAGAACTTGAGAGAACCTAGTCAGGAATGAACCCAACTTCTGTTAAGATGCACAGAAATGTAAGATAAAGCCATTCTTCTCATTAACATTTTTTGGTCTTGAGAAACAGTTATCTTTTCTTTTTTTTTTTTTTTAAAGATTTTATTTATTTATTTGAAACAGAACAAGAGAGAGAGGGAGGGAGAGAGCAAGCACAAGAAGGGGGAGCAGCAGACAGAGAGGAAGAAAGGTTCCCCACTGAGTAGGGAGCACAATGTGGGGCTGATTTGGATGTTACACATGGAAGGGGTCCTTTGCGGTCTAGAACCAGGTTTCCTTCCTGTGGGATTACCTCAGGCTGGCTGTGCCCTCTTATGAAGGTAGCAGCTCTTGTAAGACGTCTTTTGTTTCAGTCACCCCCTCCTCCCCTCGATCGTCTGGGCCTGGAGAGGAAACTACTCCACCACACAAGCTACGGGGTATGCACCATCCCGGGTGGCTTCCCTGCGCCCTACTCTGTCATACTCTCAAATCACCCAATCTGGCAGTGTCATCTTCTCCTGCCAACAACTTACCTAATATACACATCTATACACGAACAGGCACTGAATGGTGGCAAAGGTTTATTATTCATTGCTAGGGGCTGACTGCTTGTATCCCCCACAAGATATGTATGTTGAAGTATTACCCCCAGAGATGATCGTATCAGGAGATGAGGCCTTTGGGAAGTGGCTGAAGTCATGAGGGTGGGGCCCTCCTAAATGGGCGTAGCACCTTGCAAAGGAGACGCCACAGAATCCCCTAGATCTCGGGCATCTGGGTGGCACGGCCGGTTAAGCCTCTGACTCCTGGTTTTGCCTCAGGCTGTGATCTTGGCATCACGGAGATCGAGCCCTGGGTCAGCTCCATGCTTAGCATGGACTCTGCTCAGACTCTCTCCCCCTCTGCCCCTAACACCCCCCCACCCTGCTCTCTCTCTCAAATAATAAATAAATAAACTTATTTGAATAAAAAAGAAAAAGAAAAGAAAAGAAACCCTTAGCCCCTTTCACTGGGTGAAGACACAGTGAGAAGGTGCCAGCTATGAACCAGGGAGACAGCCATCACCAAAGCACTACTATGGTAGTCCCTTGATTTCAGATTTCCAACCTCCAGAACTATGAGAAATAAATTTCTTTTCTTTTTGTTTTTTTTTTTTGTTTTTTTAAATAGCTATTATTTATTTTTATTTGTCAGAGAGAGAGAAAGAGAGCACACGCACAAGGAGGGGGAGTGGCAGGCAGAGAGAGAAGCAGTCTACCCGTGGAGCAAGGAGCCTGATGTGGAATTCGAATCCAGGACCCCGGGATGATAACCTGAACCAAAGGTAGAGGTTTAAGCAACTGAGCCACCCAGCTGTCCCTCTGTTCTTTACAAGCTACCAAGTCTGTGGTATTTTGTTTTAGCAGCCCAAAAGGATGGAGACATTTGTCTCCTAGGAAAGGAATCTAAAGGTCATTTTTCTGGGAATATGTTATGTTTGGGGAAAAATACTGAAAACAAGATAGAAACTATCCTGCCTCTCAATAAGCAAAAAAAGAGAAAAAAAAAAAAAAGTCTGGAATACTTTGTGCAAGTTCAGTCAAGGGACAAAATAAAATGATAGGTCTTTACCAGTAATGGTCCCTTTCTACACCACCTGCCCCCAAATCCACACCGTCTCTGGCATTGTCTTCCCCTTCCTCATGGCCATCTTGCTTCCTCTGAGAAGCAGCAGAGGAAAGCAAACAGAGAAGCAAGCAGAGAAAACAAAGTACTTTCCTTCCAGAAAAGACCCAGAGAAGGTCGGCCAAACGAACAAGGGAATACAACATGTTAAAAACAAACAAACAAAAAAAATTAGGTACAGAAAGAAAAAACATAAATGTACCTGAATAAACAGTATCTTCCATCATGTGAGAAAGTTTAAATAATACCACAAAGTTTAAATACCACAGAGCTCACTAAGGTGAGAAAAGTACCAAAGAGAAAGGAGAGCTTTAAGAAGAATTTAGATAAAAATCAATGGGTGATATGAATCTACCACTTCTTTATGCAAAATTATTCTGGAGCGCCGACCCTGCTTAAAGGTGGAAGAGGAATGGTCTAGTATGGTATCCCAGCATTAGGCACGACCAGGTGGCTGACTCTGGGCAAGTTACTCTCTCAAGCTTCAGATTCCTCAGGTATAAGATGGTTGGAATGACAGTAGCCAGTTCCTGAGTTTGCTCTGAGGATTAAATAATTAAGAGATTTAAACCGCTGAGCTCAGTTCTTGGCACATGCTATAGACTCAATAAATGTCAGCTAAGATGATTGGTATTAAAAGCAGTAAAAATTAAAAAAAAAAAAAAAAAGAAAAAAAAGAAAAAATAAAGAAACACACCCCAAACTCTTTACTTGCTTTTAAGAAGCTCAGCCTAACGAAGAACTCTATTATTCAAACAAAACTGGAGAGGCCTAAAGTACACACCTTCCAACTTAATCCTCAAACTTAATGTGACAGGGAGCACACCCAGATTCTCATAAAACGCTCCCCAGTTATTACCAGAGATGAGCGGCTGGCTACCTTTACTCAATATAAAAAAAAAAAAGAACAGTGCTGTAAATGGTGGCCAGTAAAAATGTATCAATCCAAGTAGAACTTATACAGATTAATAATTTTAGAAAACTATTTGCAAAGCTAATTCAAGAAACCGAACAGATACCATTTTACAAGATTTGTGCCGCTGGAATGAATCCCATTTACAGGGATTTCCCTCTGAAGACCCAAAGCATCATTAATATAATTTCCAATTAACTTACTCTTTTTCTTTAAGCTCTGGCAAATCCAAATACCAGTGCTCTTCACTAATTATTTTCTTTTCTTCCTCTTCTAGTTGTTTCTTGGTCTCTGAGTCCAGGCCCCTTTGCATGAACTGTCGAAACCAAACCAAACCAGTGTCAGCAGCTAGTTTTCTCGACGCAGAGTTGAGAAAAACTCAAATAACTTTATTCCTCCACATGCTTTCCCTCATTTCTCCATCATCTCAGGGGGGAGGGTGGAGCCCCCAGGACCAAGGCTGCTTAATTCTGCCCTTGACAATGTCACACCAGACTAGCAGGGAAGCCCCCTAGAGCACACAAAGAAGTAATGTGGACTGCCTTCAGAAGACTTTGGAAAGATCTTTCCCGTACTTTAGCTCGTCTATTTTAATAAAAACAAATAGTAAAAAACTGCATTCAGTTAGTAGCTCATCAATATTTCAGTTTTACATAGTAATCTGTGGGGAAGGGCTAAGACAAAAGACACAGATCAGGCCAGGCAGGTAGAGCTGGAAAGTGAGAGGAGCAGAAAGCGAGGGCAGAGACTCAATACTTTCCAAATCCCTGGATGACCCGCCGGAGCCCGCTGGTCTCTGCACCTGCTGATCTTGGTCCGGAATGCCTTTTCTCATGCTCCTCCACCTGGACAACTCCTAGCTCTTCTGATACACGGGAAAAGCTACTCCATCTCTGACACCTGTAAGCCAAATTGGCATTTCTCTCCTAGATCCTTCCTATGACATCTTCAAGCAGTCTGACCGCACCTTAATGTTCTGAGCATCTGTCTCTTCTGAAGACCTTGAGGGCAAGGACTTTGTCTAGATGATCTGCTTCCTCAGTTGCAGCATGATGAATGATATGTAGTAAGGGGTCTGTAAACACAGACCGAAGCAAAGCTGTATCCATAAGCCTGCTCTTCGTGAATATTTGTCCCCTGAAAGGCCGACTACCTCTATGGCTGCTCTTTATTCTAAAATGTGCAGAAGCTCAATTCGAAATAGGCCAGTAGAAAATGGGCAGTCCAGCTGCTAGCCGCTTCCCTCCAGAAACAGTATTTCCTCAGGGGACCAGTGAACACAGCAAAATGATAAAGTATTAATAAGGGAAAAAAATAAATTCAGAAAACATCTAGGAGCCTATGGAAGTTAAGTCTAGAATTCCACTAGTTTCCATTTATCCCTCTTTCTTTCCCTTGTCCAAATTCTATACTACTTTTCCCTCCATTCCAACCCTTCCAAAAACACAAGCATTTTTCAGCACAAGGGCTTTACCAACGAGGATGAAACGGAATGACGAAACTTGAAAAAATTTGCGAACAAAATACAGTGATAATATCCAGTTCTGATGAGGAACTGGTGAGATTGGATCACTCATATATTGCTGGTGGGAATATAAAATGGTACGACCTCTGTAGAAAACAGCTTGACAGTTTCTTATCCAACTAAATATGCTCTTACCATACAACCCAGCAATTATCCTCTTGGGCATCTGTCTCCGAGAAATGAAAACTTATGTTCACCCAAAAACTCATACAGGAATATTTACAGCAGCTCTATTTGTTAATAGCCAAGCACAGAAAACAAACAAAATACTCTTCAGCAGGGGGATGGTTAAGTCCTATGATAGTTCCAGAGCATGGAATACTAGTCAGCAAAAAAAAAAAAAAAAAAAAAAAAAGGAAAGAGCTACTGATACTCAACAACTTAGATGGAGCTCAAGTGAATTATGCTGAATGAAAAAAAAAAGCCAGTCTCAAAAGGTTACATATTGTACAATTCCATTTACAGAACATCTTTAAAATAACAAAATCACAGGAATGGAGAACAGATTTCCCAGAGCTTAAGGACAGCAGAAAAGACTTGGTGTGGCTACAAATGGAGGCTGAAGGAACCCCATGGTGATGGAACAGTTTTATATCTTGAATGTGGTGGTAGTTACATAAATCTGTACATGATAAGCTGTATGGAAAGATCACACACACACACACACACACACACACACACACACACACACGAGTAAAACGGTGACATAAAATGGCGGCTCTATGGATTTCCTGGCTTTGCACCGTACTCTAGTGATAAAAGAGAGGGAGTAAAGGGTACATAGGATCACCCTGTACATTTTTTGCAACTTCCTATAAATCCATCATTATTTTAAATAAATGTAAAGGAAATGTTTGCACTCTACCTAAAGTCTTTTGTAGTCTTCACCCTTTTACCTGTGTCTCTATCCTCACCCAGGAAAGAACTGGCAATTTCTGGAATGCATACCCTGTACTTCCCAATCCTTCTGCCTCTACTACTCAACATCATGTTTCCGTTTTCTACCTGGCAAAATATCCACTTGTAAAGGCCCAGAGCACATGTCCTTTGGGCCTTCCCTGACTGTTGTCTGGTCAAGCTCTTCACAGACCCGTTCCCATAAAAGAACATCTTTCCCTGCATCTAAGAGTCTTATAAGCACTGGCTTATTATTCAGTATGCTGCTTCTGTGTCTCCCAAAAGACAGAGATTCTGAAATAGCAAGTCATGTCTCTTGCCCATCTTTTATTACGCAGTCAGGCTGCAGGTGGTATACGAGAGTTCAATAAAGGTTCTCTGAGGGGCACCTAGGTGGCTCAGACAGTTAAGCATCTGCCTTTAGCTCAGGTCAGCCAGCGTCAGGCTCCCTGCTTAGGGGAGAGCCTGCTTCTCCCTCTCTCTCTGCTGCTCCCCCTGCTTATGCATTCTCTCTCTTTCTCTCTGTCAAATAATAAATACATATAAAATTTTAAGGAAAAAAAAAAAAGGTTCTCTGAATGTAAATCCAGACCTATGGTCTTATTCTCCCAGACTCTCATTCTTGGATGGTTCTTTTTAAACCCAGATGCCTCATTTCGTAACTTATATTCTTGGAGACACAACTCACCAATCCTACCCACCTGCCTTTTTATCTCCTATTTTTAGTCAAGTAGATATTATCCTATTTTTAGTCAAGTAGATATTATTTCCTATATTTAGTCAAGATTTAGTCAAATAGCTATATATGTGTGTATGTGTGCACAAATGCGTGTGTATTCTTTACAGACAGAAAGGCTAGAACACCCTGTGAATATGAATCAAACGACTCCAAACTTAGGTAGCAATCCAATTCTCCTGACTCTACAGCATTTAAGAACTCTCTCTTAAAGCTCAGTGATTTGGCTTTACTCACAAGTGAGGGCCTACAGCAGGTTTCACAAATTACAGTCCTTAGGCTGAACATCAATTATTGTCAATAAAGTTTTATTGGAACAAAGATATGCTCATTTGGTTCTGAGGTACAATGGCAGAGGTGAGGAGGTGCAATGGTGGTTGTTTGGCCTACCAGCCTGAAGTATTTGCTATCTGTCCCCCTTACAGAGAAAGTTCACCAACTCCTGTCTTAAGACCCCCAAAGAGCTATAAGCACAAATATGACCTCTCTGCAATCATTTCATCACACCGGCAGAAATGCTTCCTACATCCTTCACTTTCTGCTTCCCAGCAGGATCACCGTCCAGACCCCAACAGGTAACCAAGTCAGAGGATTTCGGGTACACTTGAAAACAAATGTTATCAGTATTAAATCCTCAGCTCTTTCACTCTTGCTCTATACTGAGCTTTGGCTGAACAGCTACAGGGGATACGGCAACCTAATGTAGCCGCTCCATTCATTCTCACAGGACACTTCCCTCTGTCTGTACATATACTAACTCCTGCTATCCCACCAATAAGTTCTTTCTCATCCATGACTGAAGCTGCTAACCCAACTAGAAAAACTGTGTAATTTTCCCCCCACTCCTTTGCTTTCAAAATCCTGTTGAGTCTTCCCCTCACTGGGGTAGGGGCTGATACTTTTTTTGAAGGTAACTTCTTTCTTAACTCTTGAGTCAGATTTTTGGTCTGAGTCCTAGCTAATCACTCAGCACATCTTCATCTGATGTGCCTGCTTTGCCAACCCACTCTACTTCTCTGATTACAAACCGTGAGTCAAAAGAAGACTGTTGGATAAAAATTCAAATTTTGCTAATATGTATGAAAGAAGTACTTTAGAAACTTCAAGTTATATGACTTATCCTCCCTCACTCACCCTGTTCATCCCTAGTTACACCCTGGCTCAACTCCAAATCTGGCACGTGCAACATTTGCTCTCCAATCTTTCCAAACATTATGCCTTGCTTCCTTTTTTTCTGGAAATTCCCCTCTAAACATGATATCTAACACTGTGCTGTAGTGATTAGTGACAAGCAGTACAGAACAGCAGTTAAGGGCTGGGGCTCTGGAGCCAGACTGCCTGAGTTTGGTTCTGTCTACACTACTGGTTAGATTGTGCAACTTTAGGCAAGTTACCTTGTTGCCTGTTTCAGTGCTTCGGCTGCAAGAGTGGTGTAATAACTTATCTGCCTCACAGTTATCAGGCAGATATCAGGGCTGATATATGCAAAGCACTTAGAACAGCTGTCTGGCACAGAGCAGAAACTGTACATGTTTGCTATTCTTCTTCTTCAAGTTTTTAAGGCCTGGTCGTTTCCCCTGTTTTAAATCCTGTGTTCTTTTTTTAATCTACCCTTGTCTTTTTTGTTTGTTTGTTTGTTTCCCCCACTTTAAAATTATTTGTTAAATTGATTCAATTTCGAATCTAAAAATCAATTTTGCTTGAAGTCGAGGACATTCACCATAACTGTTCTAATTCTATTCCTACCGACCTTGCGATCAGATCATCAGAACTTCTAGTTTGGTCTTTCTGACTGCGATTTCGTCCTTTGTCAGGTCTTTCTTTCACCAATGTATTCTCCAGGGCAGTTAAAGTAACTTCGAAAATTAAGAAGAACGGCTAAGACGCTGTTACCCGTGCTCAATCGCTTCCCGTGTTCACAAGAAAAAAAAAAAAAAATCCTTAATCTAGCTTAAAATCCCTCACATGTTGTGGCCACTGGCTACTTTTCCACTTTTTGCTACCTGCCTTCCAGACATACTGAATTACCTTTAGTTCTTGGAAATCCCAAGGGTTTCTTGAGTTTTGGTCTCAAGACTGGGCTGCGCCCACTCTCCCACCTATCCTTCAATCTCTACTTCCCGCAGGAGCCAAGTAAGTTCCCGAGGCTACGGCGCTCCGAGCACCACCGCACTCGGTGCCACGGCATCCTGCTTGCTTTCGTGTCTCTCTTTCCTATCCCACCGCAGGGTTTATGAGGGAATCTGCCGGATTTATAACCCAGTTCCCAGCGCCCCAGGCAGAGCAAGCGCTAAGTAAATGAATGAATGAATGTCCGAGCTGGAGGCCCTCCGTGTCTTCCCTGGTGCCCCCGCGCGTCTGCCGCCAAGGCCCCGGCCAAGTCCTGAAGCCCAGGTACCCTTGCTGCCCCGCCCGCCTCCCTGACTCCCCGCACCTTCATGCGCAGCAGGTTCTTGGACAATTTCGTCTTGCGCTCGGCCGCCATATTGGCTCCCGCTCCGAGCCGCGCACCGCTACCAGCCCCCGCTGCGCACGCGCACTGCTGCGTGCGCCATGGCGTCGTCTCACGCAACTCACGTCGCCCCGCCCCGTTCCCCCCAACCCCCCAGTCTCTCGCGCTTTCGCGCGTCCCCGGATGTTCGCGCGTCGCCGGAGCGCTCGCCTCACGGAGGAGCTCGGGGTAAGGACACGGCCGCCCACGCAGGGGTGAGAGCGACTTGACGTGGGGAGGGAAACGTCTAAAGACGCCTCAGTGGGAGGAGGCCCGAGTTCTGGTCCCCGGGAGCGGCCGGTGGCGAGTGTCGTCGCGCGTCGCCGGCCGGGTCGAGCCGCTGAGACCTCTGAGATGCTCACCCCACAGTCCCGACTGGACTGCGACTGTCACGCGTTCCATCGCGGACGGCGGGCTTCCCTGGCCCCGCACCACGGCCCGCGTAACTGTTCCTCTCACGCCGAGGACACTGACGCTGGGGAAGGCTGCTGCGCTGGCCGGGGAGTCGGAGGGAGGGGGGCGGGGGCGGACCCAGGCAGTCCGGGCTCCGGAAATGCGACGGAAGACGCTGCTGGAGTCACCCTCGCCTCTGTGCGTGAGCGCTCGGTGGAACGGCGCGGGACGGACTCGCAGGCGGAGAACGGGCGGCCCCGCGTCGCGAAGGACCAGGAGGACAGGAGCCTCCGTGCTGCGCGGCCCTCCCGAAGACGGGGTCCCCACGGTTCGCAGGAAAGCCCCGGGCCGGACGCCCCACGCGTGTTCTTGGCGCCGGCTGCCTCGCCTGCGTGGTTTTACCTACACCTCCTTACAGCTCGGGACACCGTGGTGTTGTCATCGTGTCCTTAGGGACCCTGAGGCCTTGGGAGGGAGGTTAAGGCACTGAACCAGCGTTTGCACAGCTGTAAGTGTGAGAGCCCAGAGTCAGGAAACTTGGTGGAAAAACAAACACACAGAAAACCAAACCAGACCATGGCCCTGGCCTGGCAGGTTTTCCAGTGGAGTCCATAAAGTCATTGTGATACGGTAAGTGGTTGGAGAAGCTCCTTCACAGCTGAGTGTGAGGCCGTGGGCTGCGGCCGAGCCCAAAGACGCGCGACCTCGCTTTCCTGCAGCTGACCTTACTGCCCAGTGCCAGGGAAGAAGAAAAGATGATGTGATAGAGTGACTCGGAGGGTTACTTCGGGTAAGGTGGTCCAGGCTGGCTCCTGTCCCCACGATAGTGCTCACTAATGCTTAAAGTTGAGAAAAACCTCTTCCACGAAGAGCTGGAGACAGGCTGTTCTGAGAAGAAGGGATAGCGACCGAAAGGTCCTGGAATGAGAGCAAGACAAGAGTTGTCATCATTTTCCAAGTGGGGACAATAGAGGTAAGCATGTTTGGGTCAAATCGTGTCCCTCCCAAAATTCAGCAGAGTTTTGTTGTGGAATGTGACCGTATTTGCAGGTAGGGTCCTTAAAGAAGGGATTAAGTTAAAACAAGGCCCTTAGTGTAGTTCCTTTTCCAGTCTGCTGGTGTCTCTATAAGAAGAAATTGGACACACAGAGAGACCCCAGGATTGCCTGCATCCAGAGGGAACACTGCGAGGACATAGAAGGTGGCCATCTGCACACAACCAGAGTGGCCTCAGAAGAAATCAGTTCTGCTGACACCCTGAGCTTGAACTTACTGCCTCCAGAACTGTGAAAATAAAGTTTTGTTTAAGCCACCCAGTCTGTACTGTCTGGTTATGGTAGCCTGAGCGAGCTAGCATACCACGTCATTAGTGATAGATAGCAATTATAGTGATAAGAATCCTGTAAGAAAAGTATGGGGTTCATGAGAGGATATAGCAAAGGCACCTAACCCTTTCTGGCTTGGAAAATGGAAGGACTCTTAAAAGTGTTGACATTGTAGTTGAGATCTGAAAGGGGACGATTTAGCCTGGGGAATAGCCTTCCAATCAGTCTTCGTTTTGTGCTACCATCACTCCCATACATACATGGGATGCATTTGTAGGAGTTCTGACAATTCTGACTCCATCTTGTCCATGTTTCCTTAGTGGCCTCTCTTGGGGTCATATGTTCCAGGACCCCTGGAGATGAATATACGTGCCTTGGAAATGCCCACAAAAGCTGGGATGAGGAGAGGCTTGTTTTGTCCTCCCATGACTTTGTTAGAGATAATGTAGTTTCCCCTTCTTGACACAGGTGCTGCCATAAGATAACTAAAGTTTAGCTGTCAGGTGTGTGCGAGCCCGTTGAGGTGTGTTTGAGCCCTTTGATCTCAGTACAGTGCCCTTTTGCATGTTTCTTACCTTTATAAAATCTGTACATTAAGGTCTGGGTTTTTCAGAGAGTAACTGTGCAGCTGCTGTGAATTGTTCTCTGCCCAATCCCCGTTGTCAGTAAGTTACCCTGAATAAAACTCTTTGTAAACTGTGTGGAGTGACCTGCTTCATTTTCCAGTCTCAAAGTGCCTTCTCAAGGTGGGGGATACTTTATTGTCTCTGCTCCACCTTCTAACATTTCAACCTGCAAAACTGAAATTTTGTACCTACTAAACAATAATTCCCCATTTCCTCCTCCTCTGTAACTACCGTTCTATTTTTTATCTCTGAATTTGAATTCTGTTTAGAATTTTGAAAGATGTTCTGTGGGAGCAGATGTGAAGACGTGATCCAGTCTGCTCTCTGCGTCCAGGAAACAGTGCCTGACTATGAACTAGATCTTGAAGGATGAGCACATGTCTTGTCAACTTAAGAGGAAAACAGTTCCTGGCAGAAATAAGAGCATCCGTACATCAGCTAAGGATGCGCCCCATGGTCCCCTCATTACTACCAGTCTACTCACAGACTGGATTTGGATTCATTTTTTGAGACATTGCCTTCCTCATGTCACTCTCCAACTCCAAAATTTATATTAACTTACTGTCCGAGAGATAAAGGTCAAATTTCTTCAACCTGACCCTCAAACTTCTACATTTTTATTTGATAATGAAATTACTTGTAATTAAAACTGGTCACCAAAGACTCTTCCCACCCATCAAAATGTAATAAATGAGAAGTGACTTAAGAGTAATAATGTAATTTTAACTTTGGATTAAACCACCTGACTGGAAAAGAAAACTTGAATGCTCTATGCTACTAGATTATAGAATACAGAGAATAAGTCTCACACTCAATGTGTTGACCTGTTTTATTTACAAAGTCAAGGAAATGGCATTTTGGGGGAAGAGATACTTCTGTAGGTCTCCACACAATTCTGGATCTGTTCATAATGGAATTTGTTGGAAGTGTGAAAAACTTCAGTTCTTCCAGTTACATCAAGAAAAGGTCCCCTGAGTCCCTTCACTCTTGAAGCAGATCTTATCCAAGGCTGTGCAGCCCAATACAGTAATCCTAGTTACATATAGCTGCTGAGCACTCGAAATGTGGCTATTGTGACTGAATATTTAATTTTAGTTAAATTTAAGAACGAGCAGTGTAAAATATTTTCTCATTATACACATTTTAGTTTTGGAAGGACTGCATTTCACTTTAACCTTTGAAAATTTAGAGTCCAAGGTGAGGTGAGCTATACACCTGGGTGGCTCAGTGGGTTAAAGCCTCTGTCTTCAGCTCAGGTCATGATCCCTGGGTCCTGGGATCGAGCCCCACATTGGGCTCTCTGCTTGGCAGTGAGCCTGCTTCCCTTCCTTTCTCTCTGCCTGCCTCTCTGCCTCCTTGTGATCTCTGTCAAATAAATAAATAAAATCTTAAAAAAAAAAAGTTTAAAAAAATACATGGTACATTTCAAAGACTTGGAACAACAAAAAGCAAAATATCTCAATGTTTTTTCATATCAAAGACATGGTGAAATAATGGCTCAGATGTATTAGTTTAAATCTAGCATGAAAATTTTATCTTTCTTAAATGAGGCTGTGGTAAAACTTAAAATTACATACATGGCTCACATTTCTTCCTATTAGTTTTTCTTTTGCAACTATCAAAAACTGGTAATGGTTTATTAAATGGGGATTTATTAGAAGGATACTGGGTAGTTTCTAGAAGTAATGGTCTAAGAACAAGGCCAAGTTGAAAGATCAGAAACCAGGGCAACCCAAGGATCTCAGAAGCAGGAGTTAACTTAGTGCCTCTGCAATAATGATAAACACCAACTGATTTCTCTGCTCTAAGAACACTGAGATTTTCAAAGTCTAAGAGCGAGTCAAGACCTAATTATGGTTCTTGTAGGACTAAACAAAATGGGGGAGGGTAATTCTTTAAAGGGAAACTGGGTGCTGTAAACCAAAGAAGAGATAATGTCTGTAATGGCCAAAATAGCAGTGTCAAGTACAAATACCCATTTGTGGCAAGAAGGAAGGGAGTTCAGTTGACATAGCCCTGAAGGACATATAACTGGTAGAGCCTCAGTTGGGAAACTCACGTCCAGCATCAACTCTACCCTTCCTCTTACTGCTCACCTGGCTCATTTGATAAGCTAGTGTTTATTGGCTGCCTTTTCTATGCAAATTGTGACTAGGTCAGTCCCCTAAAAAATCTAGTTAGTATAATACATCCTTTCTGCTCTTAGATTTAGTTACTTAACAAGTCCTCTTACCACTTACTTGTTTGTGGTTATCTTGGTTAAATTAGAACTTAGTGCTGAAAGTTGCCTTGCAGGACATCTAGGTAAATAGTTCCTAAACATTGGTTAGATGTGGTTATGACAGAATTATCAGGAAAAATTAAAACACATCAAAACCCCAAATCATCCTTATTCCTGGATGATTGTGAGATCAGTCAGGATTTGGACACTGCTGAATTAGATGAATCTCCTAATTGTGTATACCAAATTGCATCAACTCAGAATTCCAGGTCTGTGAACTCTCCATTTAGCTTTTTTATTGTGCCCCTACTCATCCTTTCTTTTCCATTGTCGCAAGCCTATCCTTGAACTTAATGACTGAGTCTTACTAATGATTGTGTGATAGCCATAGACTCCTGTTTTTTTATACCCCCTGTCTTTTTCATTCTTTAACAAATATTTTTGAGCATCTGTTTTGTTCTTGGC